TTACTTCCATCTTGTTTAGCTTTATGCTATGTTTCCTAACCATGGATCCAGCACTTTATTACCTACTCCCTATCCACTCCCAATTTCAATAGTGCTCTTTGTTTAGCAAAGATTGAAGATTATGAATTTTAAATATGAATGTATATAGCTCATTTTAAAATATATTCCTTATTACTTATCTTGTTCTTTGCCTGCCTGAAAATGGACAGTGTTCCTTAGTGTTTTTATCAAGGCAAAACAAAGAGTATTATAAATCAAAAGATCTGGAACAGAGATACAGAGGCTGTAAGTTGTCAGAAAAAGTAAACAAGTAAACAAACCTAAATAAGTAAATACACACACACACAGAGTGTGAGAGAGAGACAGAGACAGAGACAGAGACAGAGACAGAGACAGAGACAGAGAGAGAGAGAGAGAGATGAAAGCACTAAACAAGCTTTCTATCATATAATTCTTAAGTGATCAGCATGTGGTTTTCCTCTGCAGAATGATAGTAGCAATTCAATTATTAGAAATGGCTTTTAGGAAGAAATGCATGTGAAGATAGCAGGTGGCAGACTACTTGCAAAACTCAACATTGTGATGTAATTGAAAGTTTCTACCATTGATCACAAAGAGACATAAAATATCTTAAAATTGTAATGTTTGAGGTAGAATACTTTGCCAATACTTTGTCAGTAGTTTTCTTTTTTAATTGATCTTATCAAGCTCAGAAACAACAACTACCCAGTTTTCTAAATTATCCAAATTAAATGGATCAAACCTGTGCTTACTTCTGACTGTAACTAAATACAGTCTTAGAAATTTGCATGAGTATCAGAGAAGTTGAGTGACTTGCTTGTGGTCACACAGCTAGTAAACTTCAGAAGTAGGACTTGAAACCAAATATTCTTAAATTTAAATCTAGCACTGAACTCATCATACGACACTGCCTCTCTCACCAAAGTATTACTTTGAGAACAAGTGGAGGTGTAGTTTTTACTCCCTTGCAATTATGACTAGCAGCATCATCTTTACTCCAACCTGGCTACAGGTCAGCTTTTGCTATCTTCACAGTAACTTTTTCAGAGGGTCCTGTGACCCAAGAATTCATGACTTAGTGGGCAGCCTACTAGTTTTGAGTCATGCGTATGGCTGGGTTGGTCCTCATTTGGCAAAATCAGTCTTTCATGGGTACTGTAAAGAAAGTCTTCCCAGCTTCAGAGGACTGGGCAGAATTTTCACTGTTCTGGCATAACCTTTGAGACCCCAGAGTTTTCTCCAGGTGCAGGGACACAAGAGAGGATAGATGGCTTTGTGGAAGAAATTGATGTGCACCTCCTCTACATTCCAAAGCATGTTGTCTCTATCTCTTTTATGACACTTATCATGGGTCACATTGTATTGTAGCCATCTGTGTATGCACTTTCTCCCCCGGTGGAAGATAAGATCCACCTTGCTTCTTCTTATACCTCAGAGTGTACATGCCATATAGTAGGTGGCTTTCTCTCTCTATCTCTTCTTCTCTCTCTCTCTCTGCACACACACACACACACACACGCACACACACACAGACATACAGACATATATATACATATAGACATACACAAACATATATACACATATTATATGTAACATATACATATATATATATATATAATGTGTTGAATGAACTAATAGCATTGTCATCATCACCTGCATATTGAATTTCCCCTGGCTTCTTCATGAAAGGGTGGAGAAAGAAGAAAACTATACCCCCAAAATTCTCGAAATAGTAATTTGACATTAGAGAAACTATGTGGTATACCAGGCACAGTGCTGGGTTTCCTAGTTAGAAAAAACTGGGTTCAAATCCTGCTTATGAAATTTCCTACCTGGGTTAAAGTGGACAAATCACTCAATTAACCTCTCTGGGTCTCTGACAAGTATGGAAGACTACATTTAGTCATAGACATTATCTGTTTAATTTGAGAAATTTAGACTAGGTGCACAGAAAAGGTTATTTTTAAAATAATCCCTTTGTTTTACGTGTTGTACAGGTTCCATTTATATTTGAAAATGTTTGCCCCATTCCAGTTTGTCAAAGTAAATACAGTACAGAGCAAAACAAGACAAAAAAAAATAAACCTCTGTGGAACTTTGCTGACAGTCTTGTCATGATCCTGTGGGGATTTTTAGAATCCTCATTTATCTGTTTACCACTTCAGTCAAGTGGCTCAAGGACAGCTATACTCACATATCAGACTGGAAAGACCAGTTAGTTCTGGAAGCACTTACATTCGTCAGTGTAGTTTTCTAGAATCTGAAGAGAAATACTTTTTGTTCACTCTTGTAAAAGAAGAAATTTTTTTTCTTTCGTTTCTTTCTCTTTTTTTTAATCTTGAAATTTGCTCCTGACATTTCTGCAATGAGGCAGACCAGACTGGGAGGAAAAAGCAGGCTCTTGTCTCCCTAATTGCTTCTTGCTCTAAATACTTCCTTTCCTCATGTGACCTAATAAAAAGTCCCAGGAGGGGATGTTTTTAGAATTGCAAATTTACTTTCTCACACAGATCTGCTAACTTTCTGAGGAAGTAGAGGCACTGAGGAAATACAGAGCAAATAGGCAAACACAGCCCACTGGAAATTTCATAAGCATTGGGTTGGGGTTGAAGAACTGAGTCGAAGCCAACAAAACAAATGTTCTCAGCTGATGATTTTCTTTTACACTTAGTCTTAATACTATCAAATAACTCCAGGAGGCAACTGCTTGGGCAGCCACTTCCATGCTCACTCATAGAACCAACTCTGAAGAATTAATTCACTGAGTAACTAATGTTGATTGTTTTTCGGAGTTCAACTGAAAGATGGAATGCCATTCCCAATAATAGTTCAGCAGCTGATCTCTTTAAAACCCTTTGTATGACTTAAGGAACAGAGTTTTCAATTCAAGTCTGACATATTCCAGCTGTACAGTATTGATGACTTAAAAGTATAATGTCTTCATTTTCCTCTTAAATGGAAAGAAGCCTATTAATTAAAAAGCTTTTTTATGCCTTTTACAATCAGCTTAGCATAAGGTGAGAATTTTGAGACATTAAAAGTGAAAATTCCTTCTGGTTCTTCAACTTTCACAAATTAGCACGGAGCAATGAGTCTCAGATTTCAGTGGAGGGGGAAAAAAAAAGCAAAGACATCAGTTACATAGCAACTGAAATGCTTTAATAAAATTTTTATCATTGCTGGTATTGGAGGTTGTCTGCACTAATGAACATGCCACAAAGGGTCTGTTTTCCTTTTCAGTCAGACTCCCTGGGGGCATTTTTGTTAACGAAAGTGAAATTGTCTGGGAGTCTGCTACCTGCCAACTTCCAGGTCCTGACTCTGGGAGTTGTTGAATGACTACAATTAGGTTATGGAATAGATTGTAGTAAAAGGACTTTCATTTAGCTTTATTCATGTTAAAACTTGAACCTTACTAGGATGAAGTTGAATGTTAGAGCTCTTTATTTAATGATTAAAAGCAAATTTAATTAGTAGTCTGCTAAGTAGCTTCTAAAGATGACCTTGTATGTGGACATTTTATCTGGCATACACACATATGAACAAACAAATAAATTCTCTACCACTAGGTTTATAGTATATAAGTACTTTCCTGCAATAGACACATTTCTCTTCTCTAAAATATTGCTCAGAAATCGGAGAAAGAGAAACAGAACCAATTTTCTACCTGTAGCTTGGTTTTCATTTAGGGGCAAACCAAATTTCTTTTAGTTACATATTACCCAAATACTCAGATGGATCTGTGATCTCATATGTATGTGAAATACCTCCAGTGATTCAGATTGCCATCCATCCTCGCCTGCTAATTTTATGAGAATCTTATCCATGACCCCCTAAAAGTTCAGACAAGAAAGATCTATCTAACATAGTGGAGGACTTTGTCTTTTCTCCTGACTTCCTGAGGAGGAACCTTGGAACCTTCTGGCTGTCCACCTGTCATTCTTCACTCTCACCATATGGACAGCCCATCATCTCTTTCTGTCATATAACTCTCTGATGATATCTTTCACTCCTGCTCTTCTTCAGTTTTTTATGTGTTATATTCCAATACAAGCTATTATGTTACAATATCATGGCAGCCTACTCCTATCCACCATGTGCCTTTTCATTGTCCCATGCAATACTGCAATACTCCAAGTCTTACGGCCATTAAAATTTTAATCATTTTGGGTAGAAACTTTTCTAGAAGATATTGCACACTTCTCTGCCTTGATGGCATTGGTAATAATTATTAACATTAACCATTATACTGTGATGATATACAGTGTTATACTAAAGGATGAACTGAGGCATGTAAGAATTGTCTTTAGGCAAGCTGGCAACTTATAATTATATTCCCTTTTACAAATAAGCAATACCTGAGATTATCAAGTAGGGTGTAATACATCAAAGCTAGGTAGTATCCTTAGTGAATATCTAGGAACATGAATTTCACTTCAAAATTGTCCTTTCTATCATCTCATTTAAATCTTCCTAAGCTTATTTCTAGTTTGAATTAGTGGAGAGACCGAAAATTTTATTTCTGTATTACTGCATTACTTTTAATTACAGTTCATATAGTAATTGATGTAATGTCTCATAATATATCAAATGGTTGATGTCCTGCCTGACTTCCTTTAATGAGTAAATAATAAAAATGGCTAGCATTTATATAATACTTAAAGGTCTGCAAATCACTTCACAAACATGATTTCATTTTATCCTAACAACTGTCCTTGCTCTTGGTGACCATATTAGCTTCTGTGGGTTTAGTTATTATCTCTATATGAAAGACTGTGAGATCTATATATTCTCTTAACCCTAGGATAAAACACGATTTCCTCAGTTTGCCACCTAATGCACTTGAACAATCTGACACTAGCCTACCTTTTCCAGTTTTCAGACATTACCCCCCTCCATAACTCTGAGATTCTTTATACATGGCTTCCATTTGCTATCTACTTTCCTTTAATGTATTGTCTCTTACCTTTGCATCCTAGAAATCTCAGCATCCTTCGAAGTTCAGCCCAAGTGCCATCTCCTACATAAATCTTTTCCTAATCTCTCCAGTCACTGGTTCCTCCTTTTTAAAGGTAAAGATAAATTCTCTTTATTTACTTCACTTGTGTATATTTTGTTTTTACTTATATGTCTTTTCCTCTGATAGACTGCAATCACTTCAAGGTTTTGTCTTCATATGCTCAACACCTAGCACAGTGCCTGACACATAGTAGGTACTAAAATATTTACTGATTGTTTGATGTAAAAACAAAAGGCATCAAGAAAATTCATTCAAAATAGTTCTGCCATTTAAGAGCTGTGTGATCCTGGGCAAGTAACATAACCTCTGCCTTAGTTTCCTCAGCTGTAAAATGAGGGTAATAATAGCACCTACTTCTAAGAGTTGTGAGAATCAAGTAAAATAACATTTGTAATTCTTGGTGACCATATTAGCTTCTGTGGGTTTAGTTTTTCTCTATATATGGAAGACTGTGAGATCTATATATCCTCTTAACCCTAGGATAAAACATGATCTCCTCAGTTTGCCACTTAATGCACTTGAACAATCTGACACTAGCCTACCTTTTCCAGTAAGGTGCTTAGCGGACTTTCTGGCACATAGTAAGCCTTTAATAAAAGCATGTTCCCTTTCTTCTTCCCTAAAGGATTAGTATCATTTGGAATGTATTTCATAAAAGAATATTAAAGCTAAACAGCTGAAACACAATGTAGCAAGCATACAATTTCTATCAACTAATAAAACAATCATGGTCATTTCAATGTCTTCAGTCCTTCAATCACTAACTATTTATTACACATTTAGATACCAAGGTGAACAAGACATAGACCCTGCCCTACAGAACTTTGAAATTTAGCAAGGTGTTGGGGAGAAAGGAATATGACACATAAAAATGCAATATACTACCCCCAAACTAGAGTACAAAACAGAGTACCAGAGAGGGAGTAAATCATATCTTTCTCAACATCAATTTCTTCCTTCATTATATTCTTTTGCATTTTTTAAACTTTCAACTAAGAAGAAAATAAACTATAAGAGTATTTTTAATTCAAGGACTGGAAAACCATGAAAGTTAACTAAGAAGGCTAATGTAGAATTATAAAGTTAATGATTTGACTCATCCTGTAGCAAAGCTGGGAAAATGACAAAGTAGATATGCAAAGTCATTATGCAAGTCTAGAAACAACTTTACTATTTAAGTTAATTTAGTTTGTCCAGACCTGTGATTTGGCTCCTTCTATCAATATAGATTAGTACCTGCAATCTATATTCTTAAAAAGTTGCATATTCAAATAACTAAAAGAAATTATCATTCCAAGACATATCCAGATTATAGTGGAACTCTTTCCTAGAAATCCGAGATAATTATTACATGTCACATTTAGATAATGAAAGCTTTTACCTGTATGGGCTGAGTTCCATGGGATATGAATTTCATGTGAAAACCAAATATAGTAACTACGGAAATTTTTCAGACAGAACTTTCTAGTCAGCAATGGAATGAACAAAATGTATTCAAGAGCATATAAAGGTTTATTTAAGAAGTTAAAGTAAAAATGGGGAATTAACCAAAATTACATAGATAATTACCTCAACCTTTTGCTTTGGGTAAGTTTGCATTGTGTTCAAAAGCAAGGGGCATACTTTGTGCTGAATCCTCATTACAGAAGTCAAAGTGGTTTTCAGAAGCACTATATGCCAATGGCAGTTGATGGTTTTTCTTAGTTATTAACATGAACTTTGTAAATAGAATGTTAAATGCAATACATTGAGAAGTCAGTGATTTCATTTGCATAAATACAATATCTACCTCTGCAAATTAGAATCAGAGTCTCAGAGTTAGAGGACACCTCAGTGGCCATCTAATCCAATAATTATCTGAATAAGATTACCTCTTGCAATATATTATACTCCACAAATAGTCATCCAATCTTTGCTTAAAGAATACCAATGAGAAGGAACTCACTACTTCTGGATGTAGCCTATTTTGGACAGCTCTATCTAACCCTCCTTTGAACAAGTATTCATTAAACACCTACTATGCACCAAGCACTCTTACAGATGCTGGGACTATGGAGACAAAAACAAAAGCAGTTTGCTCTCAAGATTATGTTTTAGTGGGAAGAAATTTTGGAAATAAAATTTTAAAATATAACTACAAAGTAATGAGGGAGGGGAGTAGTATTGAGTGAAGACCCTACAAGTAGGGGAAATCAGACAAAGCCTCATGTAGAAAAAGGCACTTGAGCTGGGCGTTAAAATAAGCTAAGGAGCTTAAGAGGAAGAGACTAGGAGGGAATGCATTCCAGACATGGGGCAAAACCAATGATTAGAACATTTTTCCTTATATCAAGTTTAAATTTTCTTCTTTGCTCCTACTCTCGGACTTTAAAGACAAACAGAACAAGTGAGCTCCCTCTTCCACATAACAGCCTTTCAAATACTCAAAGATAGTTATAATGCCCTCCCCTTACCTTTTCTGAGCTAAATATTCTTATCCTTTAACTGACCCTCATGTATTTTTGTTGGTGGATTTTTTGTTTGTTGATTTGTTTGAGTACCCTTTATGACCAAAGCACCAGTTTAGCTGTGTGCATTGGGGGATAAGATGATGTTATTTATACTCACAAAATAGAGGGTATTTTTAAAGAACTATCATTTTTCTGCAGTAACTATTCCCTGTTATTAAATCTTGCAAAAGATGTTAGTTGAGATGTCATTTGGTTTTTCAAATCATTAAGTCAGTAAGCTTTGGGTCGGGTTTTATCCCCTATTATTCAATTAAGAGTGATCAAGCATAAAAGAGTATTATTTAGCTTAGATTGCTTTTCCTCTTTTCTTTTGTATCTTTAAAAAAAATACCAGTTTGAAATCTGAAAAATCTCCAGGTGCTTTTGTTTATTTGAATGTTAATACAAGGCATTATTAGTTCTCCACCCTTCCTGGATGATTATCAAATGCCAGTTTTTAAAGAATATAAATATGAAGAGATTTAGCCCTGCCACTCTAGAAGACATTAAAGCTGCTAAATCTCAATTCATCCCTAACATTTTACAGGTTTTCTACTTAAAGAGTGGAAAATTTCTACCTAAAACAAGCCAGAAGAAAATGAAATAAATATGAGATACATACATTGTATCTGGAATCCTAAAGTGCTAGAAGTATAAGGGACCTTATAGAGATCATCAAATCCAATCCTCTCATTTTACAGAGAGGAAACTGAGGTCCAGATAAGTGAAATGACTTTCAGGGTCACAGGGCTAGGCAATGGCTGAGTTGAAATTAGAATTGAAAGCTTTTGGCTCCCTCTTTCCCTTTCTCATATATCACACTGTCTTGAGAGAATACATTTGCCCCAAGTAGTCAAAATTATTTTTTAGACAAAAATGTAACAATATATTATACTTCAGCATCGTCCAGTCAATTATGTTAGTACCTGAAACTAAATCATAAAACAAACCATATGTCAAATTGTATTTCAGTAAACTTCAAGGGACTTTCCTAATCTTTTTGCCATGTTATAAATGTGTTATATAAAATATTGCTTGAAATACATGTGCTGTCATTTGGGGCTTGGAAAGACTTGAGATACAGAGATTTTCATTCTAATCTTATTAGATTATACTTCAACTTGAACATAAATCAGGGTAAGTAGTATTACGTGAACTGGACTGGATGTGCTTGGCGGTTATTTTTGTTACCTCATTTTTATGGAGGGGAAAACAGATAATTAGTGAGATGCAACCTATTTATATAGATTATTGCTAATTGTCTGAAGGGCATCATTTTTTTAGAGAACAGGATACTAGGTTTGGAGTCAAGAAGACTTGGGTTCAAATCTGGCATTTGGAACTTATTAACACTATGACCCTGGACAAGTCACATAAGCTTCATGTTACTTCAGGTGACTCTTGAAATTTTAACCACAGGATCATATGTAGATTTAGATCTGGAAAGCACACTAGAGGATATCTAGTCCAACTACCCATCACTTTACAGGTGAGAAAACCGAGGCCCAGAGAAGTGACTTGCCCAAGGTAACAATGTTAACAACCAGAATTAAGGTCTCATAAAGTTCTTCATAGGATTTCTTTTATTCTTTCCTATGGATTTTGCCATATAAGCTATAAGTACCGTATTTTCAATATGTTGATCATAGTCAATTCAAGCCAAAATGACCAAATGTCCCATGAAATCATGTATCTTATCGCCTTTGAATGCACAGTGAAATAAATTGCTTTGTTTATCTTTCCAAGGAGAGTGGGTAAGATGTGTTTCTCTTTCATTCTAACTTTTTTTTGTCTTCTGGTCTCATCACAAGAATTTTTAATATTGACATGGTACCCTTCCAACATCATGTCAATTTATTGGTTATTGGACAAAGATTTCTCAAAGTACCAATAATTAATATTTATATGCAATCTAAAAACAGTGATAATTAGTTTCTTCTGCCTCCCTCTCTGCCATTTCCCCAAAAGTCACAGTTACTTATGTAGTCAATCACAGAGGTCATTATCTCTGTTATTGGAAGGAATACCATACACTGTTAGATCCATTGAATATCTTTAAATGAAGTGAAGTAGCATTTATGTTAAGAAATACATAAACTATCTTTTAAGACAGTGAGCATCTGTAGAACAGGAAGCCTTTGTCATGGATATAGTGATGCTATTTCAGGTTAGTAGAGTCATTTCATAAAGTTACTGGGAAGAAAGAGCTTTGTAACCAATAAATTCCAATAGAATAGAATTATGAACTGTGATCATGTGGAATTTCTATCCTAGAGAGCTGATAAAATGGTACACACTTCTTACTATATAATTCACACTCATGAAATTGCAATGATTCTTTTAACCTTGAATGCAGATCTGTTGGCTTGGGACTGACTTATTCATGTATTTATTTGTTTAACAAAAATTAATTAAATACCTGATATGTGTAAGAAGTGATAATAGGGAAGAAAAATACATAAACGCAAACACAATCTCTGCCCTACTCAGCTTACAATCCAGTAGGAAAAATACTATAGGCGCACACATACATACATACATACATACATATATATATATATAT